GGTGGGATCACAAAAAAAATATGAACAAAACTTAAGATCGTAAAACATTTAATCAAGAGGCTTTAAATAGTGACTTTAGTGCGCAATGTTAGCAACAACTGGAGACAATGAAAATGGATGATTCCATTCTTTCTGAGCCTACAGATTATTAACCTGTAAATGAAATTCTTTATTTTCATATATGAAATGCCAAATCCACATCTAATCCCTGCACTGCGCAGAAAATAAACCATTGGCACGAAAAGTTCACGTAAGCATTTACTAACCATCCAGTCCGCTGGTGTTGATACTTTTTTGGAAGCTGTAAGCTGTAGTGCATCGACCACGCGCAACATCTCACTGAAACACAGTATTCAGCACAATTAGAACCCAAAGGCGTTGGGACTGCTTGGGAGTGATGATCAGTGAAAAAAAGGATGCTAACTCAAAATGTGCTTCTCTAAAAATGGCATGTACTTCGCTCCATAATTGCTCCGATCAGTGCCACGTCGCCTGGTAGACCTACTGAATGCTATTACTCCGCAAGAAATACAGCATCCGTCCCTCAACATGCCTCAATTTAGCAATTACTGGACAAACCTTTTTGGATTTGCGATCTTTGAGTGACACTCAGCGCAGTTCCAACTAAGCCTGTTGAAATTCTGATTTTAATACTTCAAGAACTATGCATTCAGCCCCGCCCTTTCATTTCTCGCTTACCAAAAATTACATTTTTCTCTCCTTTCTTGGAAATACCAGTATCCAGCAACGACTCAGCTATGGACAAAGGATGAAGACTGCAAATCTCAACCATGTGTTCGCAAAGGAGTGTTATGCGCCAGGAGTGACTGGCTTTTTTGTATACTGTTATTTCTTCATTTGTCAGTTCCTGATAAATTAAAAGACATGTTGACGGTTTCGACTCCCTGACATACGAATTCACGTCATAAAAAGTTAAATAGTACGCACTCAAAATTTCTTCCTGTTGTTGCAGGATACATAGTTGATAGCTTCAAAGTTTTATCCGGCCCAATGATAAACAACTGCAAAAACCATTTTTTATTGTCATACTTTGTATATCACATCGTCCACCGCGTTATACCTACACTGATGTTATTTGGACGAAAAAGGGAGGGAATAAAGGCGCTGTTCTTCGAAAAAAAACTTTTCATTTCCTAACAACCTAGGTGAAGAATACGAGGAAAAAAATCTAAGAAAAGAAGTTTTTTGTAGGAAAAATTATAGTAAAACGAGATCAAACTACCTCGTTAATAGTTACTTTTTAATATGTTAATGAAAACCCAGGCTGGAACGCACCAGGCGGGCCGGTGCGATTATGCGTTTTTGCACTTCTCGTG